ATTATACTTTTTTACAGTTGGATACATTTTTGATTAAAATGTCGAAAACAGAAAATCAATTGATATATCTTTTTTTTAGTATAACGCATTTTTCAAATTGGTGACAGCATGCAAAAAAATCATTAAAAATCTGTAATTTTCGATTTTTTTTTTAATAAAACAACACATTTGTTTTTATCTTATATTTAATATATGTTGGACAAAAATCTTGATCTTTCAGTTTGACGATTATAAAAACACTACTTGATACGTTTCGTAAATGTGCAACACCCTGTATAAAATTTAAATAATGTAGATTTAATGGTTGTCCATTTATTCACTAAATAAAATTTAAAAAAATCACATTCTAGCTTTTATCGAAACTGTTAAATTATGTGCCGAATACCGTGGATAACATTTTATTGGATCGCATTAAAAAATGACGTGATCTGAAAAAACGCCGAGATATGGTTATCATTTTTTAAAATCTATTTTCAAAATCTGTGTAATAGTAGGGAGTGTGCCATCTGTCATCCTCACCTGTCACCTGTCATCTTTCATTTGTCACCTGTCATCCGTCAACTTGGCACCTGTCAAAGTGTTGATATTAGTGAGAAGTGTAAAAAATACCTATAAATCTTACAATTATTTTATACTTTTTAGTGCGTTAAAACGTATTTTTTACTAAAATAAAATAAATCATAAAACTATTTACAACTATATGCCCATACTTTAAAATAGAATATAAACTGAGATACTAAAATTTAAGGCGCCTATAAAATGGGAATTAGGTATATGACCTCGTTAAATAAATCTATTTATTCATCATATCGCACTGGCTAATTACAAATAGACACATAACCTTACTTAAGCCTGCATAATTAATTATGATAATTTTCGAGACGAGCACGCCTTTCTCTTTAAAATTTTAATTTGACCGTTTTGAGTAACAACAAATTATGTTTACATTAATGGTGTTAATAAGGTATTTTTAGAATGACTAATAGGATTTTATATGGGTAAAAGGTCACGGATGGAATATGTAAATATTAATGGGTACTTTTACTTAAAAACTATGAAACAATCTAACCTAAAATCTAAACTTATACAGAACGTGATGTATTTTTATTTAACTTTTACTTGTTGTTGGTGGTTATTATGTTGAAGCCAAATGCCAGCGCAATGTGTCTTGCGCCAATAAATTGCATATAAATAAGCACTACAGCATAGAGTTCGGCGCATTGGAGGCACAATATGCATATAGTATAAGCCGCGCGTTTTCCCTTGACGCCAATAAAAATAAATCCAAGAGTGCATGTCTGGCCGCAGCACGCGAGAGAATTGATCAAAAACAAGACTAAGGCCACCAAAACCCTGATCTTGAAAATGAAACGCACAGCCACAACACATGGGAAATGCTTTTGTTTGTCTGCATGTCATAACAATTAACTGACCAACTTGAAACTTTGAAATACGAGGTGTGTTCAGAAAATAACGGGAATTGTTAAATTTCGCGGGTCCGGTTGTTATAAAATTTACTTTATTATGTTGGTATACATTAGGGTGTTTCAAAAAAATCGACTTTTTCTTTTTCTTCAAAATTTGAAGAAAAAGAAAATGTTCAGCAAATTCTTTCAGAGGATGTCAAAACAAAGACCTCGTTAAAATTTGAGCTTTTAATTTGAAGATTTAGAGGTCGCGGATCGCAATTTTCTATTTCCCATTTAAATAACATAGGAATATTTTTTTTTAACTTTGGAATTTTATACGTCTATATCGAATCAACTTATGGCAAGGAACATCTTAGATTTTTATAGTAAATTTAACGCTCTATAAAAAATGTCTCTTATAATTTTTCTATAAATTGATTTCTTCCAGAGTTATTCGAGGCCAAAGTTTGATTTCCATCGAATTTTCTCGTTTTTTTCAACTTTTAGCATCATGTAGTAAAAAAATCACATATTTATATCTGAAACATAGGAAGTGTTGTAAAAAAAACAAAAAAACAAAAAAACGTCACTTTTGTCCAAAGCCTACTACAAAGTTTTAATGAAAATATGAGATGTGTATAATTTGCAAAGTAATTTATTTATAAATGCATTTTTCTCGAAAATGGTGCATCTGAGCAATTCAAATCAAGAGTACCTATTTTTCGTAAAAAACTATAAATTCTCATAATTTCATAAAAAAAATTAAATTATTAACCCAGAAAAAAGTTGGGGCTATTTTTGTAACTTTGCCCCCTCCAAATATTACACCTATGATTAAATTTTAACAGTTTTGATCATAGATCTAGATTCAGCATGTCAAAATTACCAAAGTACCTACCGAAAATTCATTTGTTCATGTTCAACCCTCTAGGAATAGTTTTAAAAAAATTATCCTCTTAGGCTCCTATTCAGGGGGCCGTAGCTCCTTTAGGGAGCATTTTTTGATACATGTTTATTAAACAAAAGAAGTGTTATTTTTATACGAATAATGTTTAAGTTTGGCCCCCTGATTTCGGGACACCCGTATAATGATAATTGTACCATAAATGTTAAAAAAACGCGAAAATTCGATGGAAATCAAACTTTGGCCTCGAATAACTCTGGAAGGAATCAATTTATAGAAAAATGATAGGAGACCTTTTTTGTAGAGCGTTAAATTTACTATGAAAATCTAAGATGATCCTTGACATAAGTTGATTTGATTCAGACGTATAAAATTTCAAAGTTAAAAAAAAAAAATTCCCATGTTATTTAAATGGGAAATAGAAAATTGCGATCCGCGACCTCTAAATCTTCAAATTAAAAGCTCAAATTTTGACGAGGTCTTTGTGTTGACATCCTCTGAAAGAATTTGCCGACCATTTGAAGAAAAAGAAAAAGTCGATTTTTTTGAAACACCCTAGTATACATGCCCCCGAAGTATGATAAAAACTTTAGCTGTTTTCATTGTTTACTTTGTCTGTGGCAGCCGCTAAGGTTAGACGTGTTTTATGAGCTCGGCGATTTTTCGTTCGTTAAAAGAAATGGATCAAAGAATTTGTATCCAATTCTGCTTAAAAAATGAATTAAATTCTGTGAAATGTTAACAAAGGCCTATAGTGAGTCTGCTATAAGTAAAACAACAGTTTACAAGTGGTATAAGAGTTTCCTAAATGGTCGTGAAGAAGATGACGAACGCCCCGAACGCACAAGCACATTAACAACCGATAAAAACATGGAAAAAGTGGAAGAAACGGTTATAAACCATCAGAGAAGTCGCTGATGATGTTGGTATATCGATTGGCTCATCCCATGAAATTTTGTCTAATGTTTTGGGTATGAAACGCGTGGCAGCAAAATTTGTTCTAAAATTGTTAAATTTTGAACAAAATTTTTAGCCAAAAACAATACTGTAATGATGCCCCAGCCTCCATATTCGCCAGACATGCCTCTGTCTGACTTTTTCCTATTCCCAAAAATAAAGAGAACCTTAAAGGGTCGTCTTTTTGCAAGCATAGATGACATTAAAAGCGCATCTCTGATAGAACTAAAGGCTATCCCAAAGATCGAGTTTTAGAAGTGTTTCGAGTATTGGAAAAAGAGCTGGCTTATGTGCATAATATCCAATGGGAACTATTTTGAAGGCGATAACATTAATGTAGACGAATAAATAAATATTTGTTTCAAAAAACCAAAATTCCCGATATTTTACAAAAAAATGTTTAAGATAAAAATTAATTGATTCGAGGGAGCGAAAATTTGGAAAAAAAAACCGAAAAGTTAGGTATTATATTTTTTTTTACATATTTTACACGAATTAAGTAAACGAATTTTCTTTCGGCTTTCTTTTTGGCCGAGATATGGAAAAAAGTTACGTTTCTCGGCATCTTTTTAAAATTTGGGAGCAAATGTACAAAATTTTAGCCGGATCGGGCCAAAATTGAGTTATGGCCAAAATGTATAAAATGCGGAAGAAACCCGAAAAAAAAAATATTATTTTTGACATATTTCACAAATTAAGTGAAAGATTTTTTTTTCGGCCCATAATTGGACGAGATATGGAGGAAAACGTACCTGTCAGATTTTGGAGTTTCTCGTCGTCTGTTTAAAATGTTAAAAAAAGTTGGCGTTTCAAAAATGCACGAAACACTTCATTGATCTTACGAATACAAAAAATTAGCACTTATACCAACTTGCGAAAGCGAACTCGAACGCGGGCTGGTACTCTTGTCAAAATTCCACTATTTGAATTAGAAACTACTAATAAAATAGTCATTTTCCCTTTTAAATAAATAGTTACTTTTTACTATTTCAATACTTCAAGTTTGACTAATTTGTAAGTTACAAAATTTGAGTGTTTCTGAGAACAAAAAAAGTAACTATTAGGGCCGTCCATAAATCTTGTGACGCAGGAGGGGTGTTTAAAGGACCGTCACTATTTGATATCTCAAAAACTGCTTTTCTTTCACAATTTTTGACGGTATTTTCGGATTTAGGGGACAATTTTACGTAGGAATTTGCTGTTAAATGTCCGGGATACAAATAGCTGTGGACTATAGTTATTAGTAGCTGCTTTTTTACTTTTCAACTACTATTTTTTGGTTTTAAATTATTGGGACAGTTTTGCCAACACGTTAACGAACTAAATTACTAACTTAGTTGGCAATTGTGGATTATTTGTTTTTAAGTAGAGGCCTTGTATATCTTTGGACGTAAACAAATAAACAGTGTGAATATTTTTCTAATTACATAATTAGAATTAAAAACTATAGATTACAAATGAAATAAAATAGTATTAAAATTTTAATTAGATTATTTTACATACACATTGTTTTTTAAACTGAAAGCCTTTGTGGTATTTTTATTGTAAGGATTCCTTTTTATTACACGCTGGAAATACTTTAATCCTGTTATTTTCCCTTAATTTAATTAAAACGTTATTGGATAAAAATGTAATTAAAACTCGCACAGTATAAAAAATCAATACCAACATTATTATGACATTAAAATTACTAAACGTCAATTTTAATCTTCTGTTTCTTCTAATTCCAGACCATCAAAATCAACATATCATCTTGTATATCACAGCGAAACACCAACCATGCTTCTATGTGCATAGGTAAATGATAAAAGATAAGGCAGGTCGTTATCAGCACAAAATGCTTATTCGAAGGCACAAAAGATAAGGAAAAACGAACGCAACTTAATCAGTACGGTTGTTTCAGTCGCGAGACTCGCTTTTAAATGGTAAGAACGATGGGCATTCTGTGGAGAAAACGGTCTCTGCTGCTTAAGCTCGTGGTCATAGTGGGCACTGCTTGGTTCACGATAGCCTTCCTGATGTACACGGACAATCAGAGCGATAGGAGGCCGGTGCTTGTGGACAGCAACGAGCTGGACAGGGTGGTTAAGGAGAAGTTAGTGCGCGAACCGGAAAGAGTGATACCGTTTAGGACTGAAACGAATGTAGTGGAAAAAGAACAGGAAATGAATGAGAACGATAATAATGTGCTAATGGCGCCAATCAGCAATGCTGGAGAGATGGGGAAGCCTGTGGTATTACCGTCGAACTTAACAGGTATGATTTTGTTCTTATTCCTGTTATATGAACCATTTAAACTTATTAGAAACATTTACTCCTGATGAAATGGTCTGCTTGTCTTTAAACTTTTGACTTTTACAGTTAATTTTTTTACTTTAATTTTTATACCAAATTTATTTAAAACAAGGAAGCAAAATTCATTTTTCAAACTTATCCATTTTTTTTCGTTATGGAACTAGCTAGCTTGTTATGCTACACAGTAAAAAAATCAACTCTAAGCAACACTAATTAGAGTTCACACAGGTCCACACTAAATAGTGTTGTTTTATAACACTACACTACAATGAGGATAAAGTAATTTTACACTGTATTAAAAAGTGTCAATTTACCTAAAATCGTGTACTTCTACACTTCCTGGGTAAAATCCCACTTTTGTTCAGTGTAAATTAACACTACTTTGGAAAAGTTCTAATTTTAGAAAGGTACTATTACTCTTTTAGTGCAAACTTCTAGTGTAAATTAACACTATTATTTGAGTAAAACCTATTGGTGGTAGTGAATAAAACGAAAAGGTAAATAAAGAAAAACATTTATTTGGAACAAAAATCTATGACAATTATCAAAATCGGTGCCTTTTAAAATATAATTTTATATTTGAGTCGTATGGCTGGTTAAGCAAAATGGTTCCTTAAAACGTAAAAGTTTTAGATCAATGCAATGTTTTACTGGCTGTTAACTTGTAAGCAATGAATTATCTTCAGAATTCATCAGTAATCCATTTTTCTGTTATAAAAAATGGGTGATCCCATTGGGAGAAAGGCGTCAGGCGGCTGTATGTCGGGGATTTAACACACGCGTACAAATTTTCCATGATATTAATAAAAATGTAGGTATAGGTTAATATAACAACCATTACGCTTGAAAATAAAAAGTAAATCAAGTGTTTATGTATTTATATTATTAATGTTATAAGTACCCGACCTACTGCCGTAAATTATTGATATATAATAAGGCTTAAAGAAAAAGGAAGTATAATACTTACCAAAAAATAAGAATGTCCCCTTATGGATTCACAGTAATTAAAATCTAACTGAACAAAAATGCCACACTTTCATAACGCGGTATCTACGGATATGCACTGCGTAGGTAGATAGGACCAACCAAACATTTTAAGACGCATTTCGGTTTTTGCCACTATTGGTGTAATTTAACTTTAATTGTGGTACAATGTGTACCCTTTTGATTTATTTTAATAATAAATAGTGTGAATGTACCAATGAATAATGTTCATATTCTTTAAATGTGTTTAATAAAGTTAATATGCACTAAATGCTACCTAGTGTATTTTGTAGTGTAACTTACAAATCAACTCTAATATTCTTACCCCTACACTAAAAAATTTACACGGTCAAAATTTTTTACTGTGTACGTAGAATTTGGTCGTTTTACTTGTTACAGTTTGCGACAATAATCGTTGAGAGACACCAATACTTAAAGCAAGCCCTGTTCTGGAAAGCGAATGGTGAATTGTCAAATTTTGTTTAAAACGTCCCAATATTAGTAGTTGTGGTGTTTTCACATTTTATTTTTACTGGACCAAGGAAATCGTACTGTAGAAAAACTTGAAATTGGCCAGTTTGTGGGAGCAGATCCCATGCATAGAAATTTTGATACTAATGAACATAAACATAGACCACAGATTAAATATAATTTTCTTTTTGTACCTAAAACACGATTTAGTATTTTTTCTGGCAAAATTAATTAAAATAAATTGATTTTGAATCAAAAACTATTTTGTTAACGGTAAACAAAATCAACAATAATTTTCACAATGTTCACCTTAACTAGGTTCCCAAAGATATTATCCTAAAAGAGGGTTCAAATTTGGTGTAAAAATTCAGTAATTAATTATATTAATAACATATAAAAATGACTTTTTTTTACCTAAAAATGTTAAACCATTAACGAAGATAATGTTAAGACGTCTTACACCTCAATGTTATATTTAATAATAATTACGTTATATAAACTTTTTTATAGATAAGATAATAATTACATGAGTAAAACAAATTACAATTTAAAATTTTGTTATCGCAAAAATAATATTTTAAATTGCTGTTTTGCACAAACCTTTAGCATATATGCATATATAATACATATTATATACAGGGTGATAACATATTTCTAGGGCGTATAGTAGAAGACGATTTTCGATCTGACTAGGTAGTTATTAATTAAATAAATTTGCCTTTCACAAGCTTGCTTTAGCAGAATAAGTAAAGGTGCGACAAACTAAAAAGTTAGAAAACAACCTAAAAACAAAAACACTGACAGTGACAACGATATTCATACTTTTATTGAATTTGTACAAAAATGAGTTTTTATAATTTTTATTTAATTTTCAATTATACACGGAGAGAAAAGTATAATGCTGATTACCATAATTATAATACCCTTTATTATAATTTATATTACCATTTGGGACAACTATCCTGTATATTGCTAGAAATTTAGTAATTTTTAAATATCCATGTATGTTAAACCTTAAGGTAAAATATTATTATTCTTTACCAATTTTGTTTTAAATTCTTATTATAATTAGATTTTTTCCATCACCAATAAGTATAGTAAATTTTAATATATTATTTTGCCATTTTAAATATAAAATATTTTAAAATCGAATATTTTTATATGTTTACAATTAAAAACAGTAACATATTTATTGTACTTTTTAATATACAAAAATGTTATGAGAAAGAATTGAACCTACACCTCGCCAAAGGTTTTTGTTTTAAGTGCGTTCCATCCTTCAAATACCGACAGACAGGTGTTTTGACCTATATTGGGTATCATCAGTGTCGACACGACACTGTCGAGCAACTTGTAGTAGTGGAACACACTCAAAACAAAGAAATACCTGGGCTTATATAACATGGTTGGTAAGCCAACAGAGGCGAGATGTAAGAACATCACGTGATCCACACCGTCTAACGACGCGTCGCGACGTGGCCTTTGCCGCAATCGGTACATACTATGCAACCAAGTATGTTCAATTCTTTCCTATATGTATTACCAGTAATGGGTCAAGAAAGAATATTGAAGAAACTAAGAAAATTGAATGTTTAAAATGTCATAAGTTACTATATTGTATATTATATTTAAATATATTGTTTATTTACCTTAAACATAAAAGTATCTTTATTTTTACTATATTTTTTATTAATATGTAATATATTATAATATTAGATGTACACATTTTTCATTAGGTTTTTGTAGTCCATTTTTAACAAGGTTTTAAAATATCCATTAGATGTACACCTTACATTTGATTAAATCATATAGTAAATATTAGTATTTGTAGAAAACAAAATCAATTTACTATACGAACATATTAAAAATTAAAATATATTATTTAGTAATATTGGTGTTGTAATCTTTACTAAAATTGTATAATAAAAAATAGTATTTTGTATTACAAACTTAATATTGTATTGACGAATATATAATATTGTTACCCTAAAAATTTGTTAAAGTAAATTTTACTATATTGTTTTACTATCTAAAATTTACTATAGGTACATTTCTCTCCGTGTAGTATTCAAAAATGTACAAATTGATCTTTAAAATTTTTAACATATAGGTATATATTATTCGCAGAGCTAAAAATCTCGTAAAATAATTCAAAAAAACTTTAATCAAACAATAATTCACAAAAGGAGAGTTCCTGGGCGAAAAAAATAATTGAGGTCGTGGTCTGGGGAAACATAGGTTTTCCCTTTTTATTTGCCCTGTACATCCCAGGAGTTTCACGCAATTTTCCTCTCGGAGTTAAGAACGACGCCTTCTCGATTTCGTTGGCGAACACAAAAAATGAATATAACACTCGTCCCCAAAGATTACCCAGCCCCCTTTTCTTCACGAGCATACATATGTATATTTTGTTTCAAAGCTATCGAAAGACACCAAATTCGTTTGTTATTCCGTTTTAACAAAAGGTGGGGAGCGATATCATCCCATTCCCGTATCCCCCTTAATCCCATTTTTCTTTTCCCGACTCTTTTTATTGCCGGGGATAATAACGCTTAGGCCTTTGTTGCCTTACGCGACTTTTACGAAGTTCTTTCTGATTATACTGTAAGGAAGCTTCTTGTTAACCTTTGCGGATTTAATAAATGACATGGCTACGAGCACTGTTAAATTTTATTATTTTAGGGGGCTTAGAAAGTTACTTCTGCGGCATAAAAAATTTAGTTTTCAATTCGAGTTTTTTTTTTTCATGCGGGTCAACATCAACAAGGTGGTAAATTTAAAATAGTTTTGTAAAGGGCGAGTGTGAAAAAAGATCTTATCTATCTATTTTATCTATTTTGCAAAAAGAAGAAAAAAAGTACTCGGAGAGAAATGTATAGTAAATTTTAGATAGTTAAAAAATATAGTAAAATTTACTTTAACAATACAATATTAAGATTGTAATACAAAATACTATTTTTTATTATACAATTTTAGTAAAGATTACAACACTAAATCATAAATGTATAATATATATTTTAATTTTTAATATGTTCGTATAGTAAATTGATTTTACTATCCACAAATAGTAATATTTACTATATGATTTAATCAAATGTAAGGTGTACATCTAATATTGCACATTAATAAAAAATATAGTAAAAATAAAGATACTTTTATGTTTAAGGTAAATAAACAATATATTTAAATATAATATACAATATAGTAGCTCATGACATTTTAAACATTAAATTTTCTTAGTTTCTTGAATAAACTTTCTTGACCCATTACTGGTAATACTTATAAGAAATAATTGAACCTACTTGGTTGCATAGTATTGTAGCGAGTACCGCTCTGGATATCGGAGTGATGACTCATCGCCGATTAGTCATTGCCGGTGAGTCATCGCCGGTGACTCAGCGCTCGAATAATCGAGAGTGTGGAGCTCGCTGGAATGTTCCAGAAGACCTTGGCGCTGAATATATAAGAAACGGAGCAGCACACGGCAGTCAGTTAAGATTTGGTACTCGCGGTGAAATAAATAAATATAAGTGCAAATAAATAGACTCTTCAACAATAGTGATATATAAATAATTAGTAGTTAAGTGTTTAGTTAGTTTTATAGTGTTTTAAGTGTAGTTAAGTTATTAAATAAATAGTTTAGTTCGTTAATTAACCAGTGCGTGTTTTAATTCACACTACGAACAGTTAAAAACGTTACAGTATGTACCGATTGCGGCAGAGGCCACGTCGCGACGCGTCGTTAGACGGTGAGGATCACGTGATGTTCTAACATCTCGCCTCTGTTGGCTTACCAACCATGTTATATAAGCTCAGGTATTTCTTTGTTTTGGGTGTGTTCCACTACTACAAGTTGCTCGACAGTGTCGTGTCGACACTTATGATACCCAATATAGGTCAAAACACCTGTCTGTCGGTATTTGAAGTTGATGGAACTTTGGTAACGTGTAGGTTCAATTCTTTCTCATAGCATGTTTGTATATTAAAAAGTACAATAAATATGTAACATATTTATGTTACAATTTTTAAATGTTAACATATAAAAATATTCGATTTTAAAATATTTTATATTTACAATGGCAACATAATATTTTAAATTTTACTATACTTATTAGTATTTGAAAAAATCTAATTATAATAAGAATTAAAAACAAAGAATAATAATAGGTATTTTACCTTAAGGTTTAACCATGCATGGATATCGATGGATATTTAAAAATTACTAAATATGCATAGTATCTGGCAATATACAAGATAGTTGTCCCAAATAGTAATATAAATTATAGTAAAGGGTATTATAATTATGGTAATGAGCATTATACTTTTCTCTCCGTGTACTAGAAAAATCATAAAAATATTATAACCAATACGCAAAATATAATTTTACTAGTATGCTGTTTAAAGTATAGCCAACCTATAAAATCAAAATTTTGGGTGGGGTAAAGTACCTCATAACAGCACCGAAAGCGGTGTTACAATGAAGTAATTATGAACGCAAAATAGATAAATGTTATTTTCTTAACCTTTCCAATAAGTAATACATAATTTATCAACTATAACTAATTTAAACATAACATTTACTTATCACTGCTATTTACATTTTCTAAAAATATTTTAAATATTAAAAAAAAACATTCAAATAATATGTGGAACATTCTTAAGGTAAATAATTGTCGATAAAAAAACCGTGTCACGTCAATAAAAATTATGATTTAAATCATTTTATCGATTTTACGATTTGTTATAGGCAATAAAAATTTATTTTCCTTACAAATAATACTTATTTAACCGTTAATGTTTAGTTTTTATGTGACTGTTTAACACGTAATTTTGTAATATGTGGTATACCATTTGGTAAACAAATTATAGTATGGTGTTGGATTTTGCTTAATGTCCTGATAATGTTTTTTTTTTCTTTGTGGAAAGTCGATTACGTTCGCCTAAAAGGTTTTTTAAGAGCACGTAAAAATAAATAAGCTTTGGTGTTAGACGCTGAAGCGTTTGGAATTAAACGGTCGTTTTCTAGTTTTTTAGAGAACCGCATCAATAAAGAAATTTACATGAAAAATTAGCACAAAATCGATTTTTATACACGGGTATTTTATTTAATGAGCTACAATGTTGATTCAATAGAGAAAAGTTGAGTTACATTTTTAACAATTTTTTCCTCCCTCTCCAAATAAAAAAGTACCTATAGAAGTATACACATAGAAAGATACTTGGGGCACTCTGTATAACAAAAGAGTTCCAAGTATATACAAGGTGTCCCTTAACTTATTGGCATAAATTTAGGAAAATATTGAGCAAGTCAAAATAAGACGAAAACCCACATAATATTTTTCCTAATTACTTTCCAAGATACAGGGTGATAAAGTGTTACTTATCATATCAGTTTTTTTAATTTAACCTATACTATGGTAGTCTTGGAAAGGTGATATTTTGCGAACAGTCACTTACTACCAAAACACATATTCACACATAATAATAATTGTTTGAGTCAACACAGTGTCGTAGAAACGGGGGTTGCTTTAAGCTTATTGTCCCATACAAACTTTGAGGTTAGGTTTTCATAACCTTTGATGCAATTTTTAGATTACACAGTTCGTCTACCATTAAAAAGGTGTACCTCTCAAACTTCGATAAAATAAACCGTTTCCGAGATATTCGAGATTACAATAATTGTTATATCGCATTATTTAAAATGATTAAAAGGTATATGATAAATTTTTTTAATTGAAAAAACTAAAAAGGGCATTCCATGAGCCTCGAGACTTTTCGCCCTGACCGTCACATTAAAAAAATTGTAGTTTTTTCAATTAAAAAATTTGTTATCACATACCTTTTAGTCCTTTAATGCGATATAACAATTATTGTAATCTCGAATATCTCGGAAACGGTTTATTTTATCGAAGTTTGAGACGTATACCTTTTTAATAGTAGCCGAACTGAGTAATTGAAAAATTGCATCAAATGGTATAAAAACCTAACCTCAAAGTTTGTATGGGACAAATAAGCTTAAGCAACCCGTTTCTACGACACTGCGTTCACTCGAACAATTGTAATTATGTGTGAATATGTGTTTTGGTAGTAAGTGACTGTTAGCAAAATATCACCTTGCTAAGTCTACCATAGTGGAAGTTATATTAAAAAAACTGATATGATAAGTAACACTTTATCACCCTGTGTCTTTTAAACATAGCTAATTAGGAAAAATATTTATTTAGATTTTCGTCTTATTTTGTCTTGCTTAATCTGCTCCTAAATTTATGCCACTAAGTTTAGGGACACCTTGTATATATTTTTTAAATATTTATCAGGTTTGTGCACAATAATTAACATTAATATTTACTCTAATCCTGTTTTACACTTAGCTTGCCAAAAGTAAAAATCAAGGTAAACATGTAATTCTTGAAATTCTGTAGTTTTATGTTTTTGGGATTGAAGATTTGGAATGTAGGTAAAAAAAATATTAGTTAATTTTAAACAAATATTAACCAGATTTTATGTTCATCCAGGTCCACATAACTTTATGTTAAGTTTACAACCAACTGTAATCTGTTAACTAATTGAATAAGTAGTTTGTAATTATAACAAACATTTAGTTGATTTAATAACAAAAGCCTATGTCAATAATTCCACCATAAATAAACAGAAAAATAACATACCCACAATAAAATAACACACCATTCTGAAATCATCAAATTATAAAGAAATGTGGTACAATATAATTATTAGTACTACTAAAACACTTACTGATGTATTTCGTAACTTTAACCCACTCCACTGTATTTTCAGTGGAAAGTCAAAACTAGTGATGGCATCTTTTTTCGGATACTTCACTCTTTAAATAGGTATAAGGAATCCAAAAAACAATAATAAGATTTCTGGTAATATATTGTTGTTACGAACACGTTACAAATTAGAATAAAGTAAGCAGAAACATAAGTTGCAGACGCTGAAGTCAGTTGAACTTGTTGATGCGTATTTTCATTGCGAAAGGTTTTGATTGATTCCCTGAAATCACGGGTACTTTTTTAACAAAATAATTTGTTATACATTAACAAAATAATCTGTAACCTTTAAAATTAACAAAATGCTTACAGAATTGCATATTACCTTTACAAAACTTTCTGTCAAATATTTTTATTTCTTAAAATAATTACAAACAAGGTTTTCTACAAAAAAATTATATTAAAATTTTACAAAATAAAATTAAAAAGTTACAATCTCATTTTAACAAACCTAATTTTTATAACAGTGTATTCAAAGGATATTTTTTATTTAAGTTTAACTGTCTCCTGTTGTAAAGATAAATTTTGTCTGTTTTTTATTTATATTTTACAGTGTTTTATTTGTTTCCAAAAACATAAAGTATGTAAATAGATATAAAACTAGAAATGGTCTACTTCACTATTAACTAACCCAAGTATAAGAATATATAAGAATGTACAACCAACTTTCAAGTATTATTATTATTATTATTATTATTATTTTGGTTAATTTTTTATCAGCCTCTTCCCGGGTGTCAAACTATCTCCATTCCAAATGTCATCAAAATCGGTTTAACAGTTTAGACGTGAAAAAGGAACAAAGTGGGATGGACATTTATAATAATATTATTAACATATTATGTATATATGGATTATTTACAAATACGGGTTTTTATAGTTAAAAAGTTTTTTTTATTTCCGAAAGTTAATTTTTGCAAACGTTTTATACAAGATGTCCCGAAAATTGAGTTAGTTTTTATTCTTAATTCTTCATTGTTATGCATAATCGACATAAACAATAAAGTACTCTAAGTGGCCGACATTTCTTTGGCCGCTTTTATTATTGGCCGTTTTATTGATAATTAAATATACTCAATAACATAATAATTATTATAATGAAGGCCTAATTTTTGTTGTGCACCTCGTCCAAAAAATGTTATTTTGTCCTCGTCTTCTTTCCTAAAATCAGGCCCGTCATAAAAAAATCACTTCTTGGCCTTGGTACACAAATAACTACGGAATCTAATCATAACAAAAAAATCTCTGCCAAACACTTGGAATTTAAAATTTACATCCTATATTAAACATACTAAATTAGCTTAACTTACGATTTAATGATATATTAATTAAAAGTAAAAACCTTAAGGAAGATAAAACTCAGTATTGCCACAACTTTAAACTTTTTTGCCAAATTAGACAGTTTTTTATATTTAAATGTTTATGCAAAATTGTATCGATGCAAGCAAAAAAAATTATACAAAAAACTTTTTTTCAGGAGCTGTCAAAAAAATGGTGGACGACGGTTGGCTAAAGAACGCTTTTAACCAATACGCTTCCGATATGATCAGCGTACATAGAACGCTTCCAGATCCCAGGGACGAATGGTGAGTGCATTAATTAATTTTGGTTTTGGTGTATTTTTTATTCCATTTCCTTTGGATTAAACACTACCCAATCCTATCAAATATTCATGATACATACGCCAGAGTTGACCTAAACGTTGTTCATTAAGCTTGGTCAAACATTGCCTGCACTGGTTTAACATTGCTAATCTAATTAATTGGATCTACACTGCAAAAAATTTATCGTTGCTGATACTTTTATTAAAATTTAGGTCTTAAATTCATTAAATTGTGCTACTTGATTTAAATGTTTAATAAGAAAACACAGATATACAGTCCACTGCATAGCAAATTATTATTATTGTTACGAACACTACGAAGATCCCTCACTGAGGAACCTTTAGTCATAAAGATTGTTTTAAAGGTTCTAAATACATTTTTCTCCGTTTTTAATAATTTAATTATTTGTTTATTGCACTTTTTTGCAAATATTTTGCAAATCATAAATTATTATGGCAAGAATTTTGTAGCCGTCTTAATTTTCTATAATCAAAAAAAGCTCGGTGCTGGAAGAGTATTAGGCTTGTTTTTTTTATCTACGGCAAAATATATTTATGATTGTTTGACTTCAGATTCGCTGTATCGTAATAGAGAAATCATTGTTGGTAGATCGTAAATATTGTTATTATCCTCTTTGACAAAATTAACGGCAAAATTATGTTTTTACCTATTTTTCTGCTACAATCTAAGCAAACCACGAAACATTTTAACCCGGGCTTTTGGCAGCCGCACCTGGTCAAATGATTCCTCTGATTTTATTGGTGGAAAAGTGGCGAGATCGGATTTAATTTTTACAACAAATCATAGCTTTTCGGGTAATGCACAAATCCGATCTCGCTAATCATTTCATCAGGTGCTGGCATGGCTGGGAAATGTTTTAAATTAAACAGAGTGGCACTGGCAACTTGAGCCCGTGAAGACCTCAGGAGAGACAATCCCATCAACACTTGTCGACATAATTTCGTGCTGTTGAAGCAATCGATGCGCCGCATGCGGTTTTAGAAAGGTTGGGATCTGGCAGTAAATTAAGCGTAAAGTGGTAACAAAATTTATTTTGTTATTTTATTTAATCTGATTTAAAAAAACAGACAATTTTTGAACTGATTTGGCAATTATTTTTTATTTTAATAACGTGTCCGGTACTATATGATATTACCCAAATAATATATAAAACTAAGTTTAGTTATCATATTTTGCAGATGGCCCTTTCCTCCCTTGGTTTGTCTCCATCCAGTTAGCTGCTAAGCTGTCACTTCTCATTTTAACTTCCTTGACCTTAGGGTGGACTTTAATCACTGTAGTTGTTACACTATAGTTTACTTGCACTTTATGATTAATTATTTTTGGGTTTGGCTTGTATGATTTAAGCGAGTTCACTTTACGGAACGACATACTTCGTCAAGAGTTCCAACGTGACTGAATTTTGTTTTTTTTATAACTTATAACTAAAAACAAAATTATGGTAGTCACCAAGTAAATCAAACCAAATTTCCCTACATAATAACTTGTTCGTAATCCAGTGTTGGCGGATCTTTTAGACGAGAATGAAATATTGAAATTTTTTAATTTTAACCGCAATTAATTATTTTTTACAATGTTTTAAAAGTCTAAAACCTATCCTCCATGACTGTTACTCTTTATATGTTAACCTATATGTTTTCAAATATCTGAGGCCACAAAAGCATACTAAAAACATCAGTTCACTAAGTAAATTAAACACATCCAAAGCAATATAAAATATTATTAAAAATTAAAAGAAATAATTTTTATAACCATTTATGTAGGTGTTACAAAAATTGATTCTATCCTCTGTGAATCTGTTTTTGCTTTAAATTGTATGCAACGGATGGCGCTTTAATCATTTTAAATAAGCAAAAACCTCTGTTTACGACATTATAGGTGCATGTGATTCCTGAAGGTCAGATAGAATTTATATGCAGATGAGAGTGTTGCTGTTTTATAATTTAAAAGTTTAAGTTCATTAATTTGCTATTTAAAAACCTATCCACCGTGAAATGTAATAGTAAGTAGATTTTTTTATAAATATTTTATGTATGTACAATTGTATTTTTAAAAAATATTAAGGTGTCAAAAGATACAATAACTTATTTCAAATATACAAAGGGATGTTTAAAAAAACATACGAAATCCTAACCTCCGTGAATATATCTTCCGTGAAGCTTTAATATTCAAAATGTTTGATTTCTTAAAATTATTGCATTAGTGCAGAAACACTTATGTTATGTTATTACTAGACCTGGTGGCTTCCCAAAAACCCCATTATAGACTAACAGTGAAACAAATAAAAATACAAAATAATCATTTTCACTTGGGGGAAATTTCAATATATTCACCCACATGCATTAATTAAAGATGTTTTAATGAACACAATTTTTTGTTAACATTCACAAAACAATTAAGCAATAATAAACAACATAACAAAATAACATGTAGTCTTGGCAACTTTAATATTTTTTTACTCGGAAACCAGACGGCCAAACTTTATTAATGTCGTTTAAGTAGACTCTACTGTAACCTAGAATATTTTGAACATTATTATTATTATTATTAAAATGCATCGTTTACGAATTATTGGTGAAAAAGTGTCTAAAAATAAAAGACCAAAACAAATTTTTCGGCTTTTTTAAAAATTATTTCATTAAACAAAAAACTGGACAAAAATTATAGGGCATTTTGTGAAAAACAATTTGCTTTATTATTATTTAGTGTGCCCCCGTGGGCCGAGGTATTCGCTAAAATCAGAAAAAATGCGTTTTTGTGTCTTTTCAAAAAATAATTATCAGGTGGTTCAAATTTGGTTACAGATTTTTAAATAAGTCTATCGATTCATAAAAAACAAAGATAGTGAAGATACAACGACAGTTTTATAGCAAAATATGTAAATTTTTCAATAGAGGATCCAGTATTATTTTCCGAGACCCGGCACTGATAATACCATCCTGGGAATATCGACCATTAATTCAAGTCAAATCGAAATTTGTCAGTCGGGTTTAAACAGATAAAATTACTTTTAACTTAATTTTTTACGGGAAATCGTAAATGTCAATCAAAATCGCAAATACTGTTGTGGTGGTCCCAATGTAATTTGGAATATTCATAAAACTTCGTCGATTTCGACGGCAGGCAAGCGAAAGATGTTTTAGCATTTATATCGAGTTTGAAAAAACTTTTTCCTAACCGACTTCGCCCCCCTGGCATCGCCAGTGAATGGTACACAAACGAATTCTGCTTCAAGATAAATGGAAATAATTAAAAAGTTTCAACTTAAAGGCATATTTGCATTTTTTGGATTGCCGAGAACGGGATTACTTAATTTTAAACGAAGATATCGGCTATAAATTAACAAAACAAGGAGATAATGATTATAAGACGGTATTTACTTAATTAAATTGCTTTATTTGTGCTCTAAATCTTACAAAAAATACAAATTAAAGCTTTTAGATAGCGTGCCTTGGATTCAACATAACCTCACATTTAAATGTCACCTATGAAAACGTCTAAATTGCGTAGTATAATAAAACATGTATGTTTTAGTTGATTAAGTTGATTAAAGGAAAATGTCTATGTTTTTAATCAAAGTCAAACACGGGGTATTTTTTAATTAATACGCGTTTGCGAAAAACTCAATTAACTTTTCCGCAGTTTAAAGCGCTTCTCGTACAGAGGGCCTTTTTATTTTCCAAACAGATTGACGACGCGAGCGAACTTTAATTGAAAACACACAATTTTTTTAGGAAAAAAATAATTTGCGTAATTTTTTATTTAAAAAAATAATTTAAATTGTTTTATATAATTTTGTTTAGAAAAGTATTTTTAACGGCTTAGTAATTTAATAGTAGATAGTAATAGTAAATTAAATGGCCCAGCTAAATAATTACATCACAACATTTATTTCACTGAATTATTCAGGGAAATAGTCATATTAAGAACTAGGTATCCTAACCTCTAGTGTCTAGATTATATGGGATATACTTTATATTAAACAAAACTTATTATTATTTCGCACGAGCGATTATCATTAAAACTCTTATAAGACTTTTGATAAATGTATACATTTATCAAAAAAACTAAAAGTAAAGAAACGTTTTTAGAGAGTAGATTTAAGTTAATTTTCAATGTACTACTCATTTCAACTATTCTTCGAGTTTACAATTTAAAAAAAATCTATATATACAGGGTGTTATGTAATTAATGTTATATATTAAAATGGGTTGTTCCTTAGGGTTCATAAAAAAGCACCTGAAACTTTTTTTTCTAAATTCCAAAGACTAAAAATAATTTATAATAACCTTTATCCTACCAAAAAGTACGCCACTGATCGACCAGGAACTTTAGGCTAATCTGGTTGCCTAATTTAATTTATTATGTTATGGTTGGTAACAACAGCGTTTCCAAATTCTGTCAAAAAAGTTGCCAAGCATTGTTGAAATTTAGCCTTGGCTTAATTACAAAAATGACAAAATCAACAATGCAAATTGTTAATTTGAGGTTTTTATTAATTGTTGGTTATGTCATTTTTGTACTGAAGGTAAATTCAAACAAAATCTGACAACTTTTATGACAGAATCTAGTGCATTTCTTTCAAATTTTAGGTTATGTGCTCAAATTGTTAATATCTTAACTTTTGGATTTATTTACACAAATTAAATGTTTAAAGTTTAACTGTGAACTGGTCCCAATTTAATCTGAGTAAACAGAAAGAAAAAAACCGGGGAAAAAATTAATTTTGTGGTTATGGATTTTTTAAAATAGGTACTAAATTTTCCAATCATTGCTTAAGCTAATAGCTAGATGAGTAAATAAATACAGAAGGGTATTAGAGCTTTAAGGGCATAAAACTTTTGTATTTATTGAGTTTTTATTTATTTTTTGCAAGAAAAATTTTTAGTAACAATTTTTTACATCTGGCAACGCGCAGCGGTAACTTTGTTGGTTGGTATCTATGTACTCACAGAACACAA